TGACGCTATAAATGAGCACACAATTGCGTGCACATGACGTCAATTATGATGAAAATATAACTGCTTAAGTTCTCAAATTTTAAGGTTTAGATATAGCAAAATGGGAAGGACAGCAAACAACATCCCAGGCCGCAATGAAGAATTTCGACACAAATAAATTATGCAAACTAACTATAAATACTGACAAACACTTTTAGGATCTTGGTTTTAGAAGAAGCTTCACGATTTCCGAGCTTATTGCGATAAAGTGGACTATGCTTTCGAGGGGACCAAATTTCCGAAGGGGGGCCAAATTTTGGCCTAGGAAATTGGGGGGGGGGGCAAATTTTGAGGGAGCCAAATTTCCTGAGACATCGGTGCGCTTTTATATATTATAATGAGATGGATATTTATTTTCGTCAGAGGTCAATTTCTCATTGAAACAAAAGTAAGAGAAATTCAAAAGGAATATGTCAAATAGAACAAAACGTGGAAGGAAGTTTATAGTTGATAGATAAAGCATGAGCCGACGTTATGGGGACTACAGTCGAAACACAAACTAAGTCATGGTGTTTGTTGACTCTTGATCTAAAATTCATTTCTTTTAAACCGTCATTATGAACTGGAAATGTATTAATGCAAGCACTCGCCGGATAATAAATGCCTGTTCTAATAACTTAGAAAATTGATCACTTTACATTATTTCCAATATGGTTATTATGTGAGAAACTCTAATTAGGAATTATAATCGTTATGATTTCTTCTTATGATAGCTTCGATTTTGAAGTAATAAGGCCAATCAATACACTCTGTAATGTCAGAAACGCTAGAAATAATTCAAAAAATGTTGAAACTGATGGAAATCTCGATAGATTGTTTAATGAATTAAGATACCTTCAAACAATAATACATCTATAAGATTATAATGAAAGCGTTTCACTCACTAAAATATAGTAGCCTATTCACGGCTATCTCATCCGCACTACATATATACTGTTGAGGTTTGTTTGGAGAGTTCTGTTAGCAATTTCCAGGCCATCATCGCGAAATAACTATCACATTATTTGTCCTGCATTGCAGACTATGAGACTGATCGGACGCAAGTAACAATTATAAACGGATATAATCAAAGTGACTGTTAATAAAATATGGAGTGCTTGAAGCGTCAGTGCTGGGCCCTTTTCTGTTTTCATATTATTATTGTTATTTACATCACATTTGTGAATGCGATGAAGGGAAGATTCTTTAATTTCATGTTTGCGCATGACACAATTGCAATTGACAAAAGCCACGACATAGTATGTAGAGCACTACATAATGTTCAACGTAAGCTGTGAAACTGGTGCTGCGATAATCATTTGACACCACACCCCAGAAAAACTGAATTCATGAAGATATTCTGTCGAAGTAACTTCGTCAAACCGTTACACGCAATTACCGTATTTACTTGTTTAAGCGCCGTTCCGAATTGAGCGCCGCCCTCGAATAAGCGCTGCACTTATTTACAACAACGCGGCGTTTAATCGAAGCACTGTCTGAAGTGCTACACGGTTGCGGAAGGAAAACACCGTGCATGGGTACGAGCTTGCAATTTTTAACACGCCTCGGAACTTTTTCTTTTGCATTTCAGTGCTTGCATGTTCGAGTTTGTTTATACTATTTCTTGTTATCGCTTACAAATAAAATATTTTATAAAGACCGCCGCCCTCGAACAAGCACCGCCTTTAAATGTTTTAATGTAGTGCCAGGGAGTTCGCCACAGGTTCCCCCAATTGCGGTGATCCCTTAATATTTACATAAAAATTACGTTCAAATAATTGATTAACGAAACAGTCTAAGCAGAACAATTACACAATTACAAAACGGCTAAACTGACAACTAACAACAGTTTAAAACACCATCAAGAGATCTAGCCCTTTTACATTTAACACAGACAGATTTCCAAGTCGGAGGATCATCACAGTTATACGTGTTCGATAGTGCGTTCTTATAATACAATTTCAGTCCTGATTTATAAGCATAAAAACCAATGTTTCTGTCTCGAAAGTTATCATATCACTTAGTATGTTCCAGGTTTTACAAGCTCTAATAAAATACAAGGACTGAAACGTTACAGTTTTGGCATGAGGTATTAAGAATTGTCATTAGTTTAACTTCTAGTGATCCCCTGATCCTAATATAACCGGTTGAGCATTGTCGTCAATATATGTATAATTGTTAATGATTTTATAGAGTAGGAATATATCCAGGTATTCGTGCCAGTAAGTTATGGGTAGTAGATCTAGATTGTGTAGTCTTGTTGGATACGGTATGTTGGTGACAAACCCAAGATTAAAAATAAATTTGCTCGGTCTTCTCTGCACCTTCTCTCGGTATTTTCAATTAACTGTACGAACTATGGACACCATACTTGGGTTGCGTACGCAAGATTGCTTCAAACGAGCTGTAAGTACAGATACTTAAAATAAGCGCTGCATCCCTAATACTAAAATTTCAAATTGCGCCGCGGCGCTTAAACGAGTAAATACGGTAAATAATTGCCTTAAGCAAGTTCAGGAAGCGAGATGCATTGGTGTTGAAATTGAAACTAAATTAAAGCGGGAAAATCATGTTAACGAGTTGATCATGTTGTTCGCACAGAAACTCAACTTTCTAGAAATCCCGTATTTTTTAACTACTGGCTACTGCTACGACTGTGTTTTATTACAAATAATATATTGCCTTCAATTACATACGGACTTACAACACAGGGCTCGTGCAGAGCAATTCATTCTGGAAAATTAAAGAAATTGTATGTACTAGCCATCAAACGTACTTATGGATTAGATTGGATTGCCAAAGCCAGTAGAAATTAAAGGCATGCTTGTCCATTATTTCTCACTATGTTTAATGTGCAGCTATACCTATCAAAATATTGCCAATTTTGTTCAACCTTGATCTCCATGCAGAATCCGGCTGTACTATCCTGCAAGTGCACGAAATTGTTAATCAGAATCCAGTCTCGCTTCTAGGAAAAGTTTTGGAGCAATTTGAACATTACCCCCCCCCAATGGAAGAGATTTACTTAATTATAACCCCCATACCTCTAAATTTTTTTAAGTCTTTCTGGCAGCTTGTTTCCCTCACCCGTATGGAAATTCTGGATAGTGTTTTACTACTATCATACTTTCAAGCATGATGTCAGTGTTTTAAAAAAATAACTCGGCAAGATACAACAATACAACATTGTTCGCATAAACAAGGCAGAAACCAGATGCCTTCTTGAACTGCTGGTGTCCCAGGAAATTTGGCCCCCCAAACTTTGAACCCCCCCCGGGCCTAATTTCCTAAGAAATTTGACCCCCCTGGGGTCCATATTTCCTATGAAATATGGACCCCCTTCGGAAATTTGTCCCCTTCGAAACCATTGTTTACTTTATCGGTGTAAGCTCGGAAATCGTGAAGCTTCTTCTAAAACCAAGATTCTAAAAGTGTTTGTCAGTATTTATAGTTGGTTTGCATAATTTATTTGTGTCGAAATTCTTCATTGCGGCCAAGAACTAAAGTTTGAAGGAAAGCGTAATAATAGTAATGTGCCAGTGCAGTCATGCCAGTTGTTGTTGTTGTTGTTGTTGTTGTTGTTACGGGGCGACGCTCTTTGAAAAAACCCTAAGGCTCCGTCATTATTTGTCCGATCGGAATGAAACTTGACATATTCTGTCTAAAGGATGATAGATGCGATTTTTCCCATTATCCGGGTCCTGATAACATGCCTGCACCAATTTCCTTTAACCATTTTCCTTTTTTCCCCCATTCAAATTATTATTTCCCCCCCTTCCGTCATCCAATGCTTCATCCCTTGTTCCCGATGTCTCAGCACCCGTACCCACCACCTCTAATGTCTCAATGCTCGTACCCACCATCGTCAAGAGACCCAAACCCACATCCAGACCCCCAAACCCATATCCAGAAACCAGAATCCAGAATTTGGATGCAGAGGTAGCAAAACAGATACCTGTCAGAACTACGGCATGTAAATTAAACTTGAAGCCCTGTCGTAATGTTGATGTTAACAAGCGAGATACTAAGAATACGAAACAATCTCGATATGTAAATTTTAATCATTTAATTTATGTCAATTGTACAAAGGAACAAAGACTTATTTTATGCCTATCAACTTTTGTCTGTTGAACACCAGATCAACAAATAGGAAAGAACTTTTTATTAATGACTATGTCTCTGAGAACGATATTGATATTCTGGCAATGACTGAGACATGGTTGCGTGAGGATGATAACGAATTTTCTATTGCTGAAATCTGCCCAACAGGGTATCACTTTTACCACGTTACAAGGAAAAACGCACGAGGTGGAGGAGTTGGTCTCTTACTGAAGAAATATATTAAAGCCAAAAAACAATCCCAGAGAAAATTCTCTTCTTTTGAATATGTTGATGTCACCCTGAACTACCGTAACACTTGCACCAGAACGATTGTCATTTATAGACCACCGCCATCGAAGACTAACAAACTAAGCAGTTCAGTATTTTTTGAAGAATTCTGCATACTTGTAGAACAGTTGATCATATTACCTGGCAATATATTAATAGCAGGAGACTTTAATTTCCATGTAGATAACATCACAGATCCAGATACTACTAAACTCAACAGGATACTGGAATCGTTTAATTTACAACAGCACGTCAATGGGCCAACCCACACGAAAGGCCACATGTGCCTTAGATTTGATTATAACAAGGAATGAAGATAAATTAGTTACTGGTATCAGAATACATGATCCAGTAATATCAGATCATCTTGCCATACATTGTACATTAAAATTAGAGAAACCACCATTGAAGCAAGCTGAAATTTACTATCGAAAATTAAACAATGTAAACATGAATAGTTTCAATGAAGATCTAAAAGTGCTAGATTTAGATGATGATTATGATTATGATCTCCCAGTCCTTATTGATAAATATGAAAATACGCTGAAAGGAACATTACAGCAACATGCCCCACAAAAACGACGAATTATAACTCTCCGTCCTCTATCACCATGGTACAATGAAGAGATTGGTCAAGAAAAAAGAAATCGCAGGAAATTAGAGCGCCGCTGGCGCGCATCTGGATTATGTATTGACAGACAGTTATATGTTAAACAATGTGAGACAGTGAATGCCATGATAAAGAATGCTAATTAGGCAACATACTACTCATCGGTTATTTCTAGCAATGCAAATAATCAGAAAGTGTTATTTAGTACGGTTGATAAATTACTCCATCGAAAGCCAGAAAAGCGCTATCCAACTGCGTCATCAACCACAGAACTCATGAATAAATTTGCAGATTTCTTCAGTAATAAGATTACTACTATACGGCAAGAACTAGTCATTGATTCTTCCCACTGTAATCAGCTAAATCAAGAGGAGCAATATGTACATTGCGCTAAATTCATTATCTTTGAAGAAGTCACGGAACATGAAATTAAAAATATTATTGATATAG